ATAATAATAATAATAATAATAATAATAATAATAATAATAATAATAATGTGAGAGTGGTTCCCAATCGCATCTACAGCCCCAGCTGCGGCTCTGTGACTCTAACCAGACAGCTAGACCCTTCCTATTTCCTTCTGTGAGCAAGAATTGTATGAGATTTGTGGGGAGGAGGCTAAAGTCAGTGGCTAGGTTTAAAGGCCCTCTTCCAGCTCCCTCCCCATCCTTACAGGCCCTGCCACCATACCCACCAAGTCCAGAGAAGGAGATTTTAAAGCTTTGCCTCCCCCACCTCCATTTTTTCTCTCTTGGGGTAGATATCCCCTTCCCAGAGTTGGTTCCAGAACTGGGAGTCTCTTCCTTGGCACTCTCAGGCTTCACTGTGCCTCGGGTCTGGGAGGAGGGGGTCCAGCGTCTGCAGTCAGAACTCAGACCTCGGGCGCCTAACCCGGGTCTCTAATTAGACGTGGAGGGGAGCCGGCGGCGGTCAGCCCGGCCTTTCATCGTGGGCGCCAGGAAACTCCCTGAACCCCATTACACACACCTCAGTCACTTCCCTCCCCTTTTAGTCCCCGGGAGGGTGTAAAGAGAATGAATAAATTAATTAAAGAGTCACGCCAGCGCCCCACCTCCCTGGTGTCGAGGTTTTCCTGCTGGGGCAGAGTCAAGGAAAAGGAGAGAGCACAGGATTGGGTAGGGTGAGGTCTCCCTGTGATGTCTCCCTAGTCAGAGCCCTTGGGGATCCGTCTGTCTGTCTGTCTATAGTACTAGGGAGCAAACCTAGAAACTCTTACATGCTAAGCAAGTGGTCTACCACTGAGCTATATCTCAAGCCCTTCCCATGGGGATTTGAGGATAGGGCTCCACAGGAACCAGGAAGGATAGTGGCTGAGGGATCAGAGTGTGAACCAAACTCTAGAAAGACCTGTCATAGCTAGCAGGTCTACTCAGAGCATGACTTAGAATGACTGGCAGGCGAGGAGCCTTCACAGAGGATGTGGCAGCAGCCTGAACTGCATTCATCAGGTTTGGGTCTTAGCCTCCTCTCCCCAGTCTTTACCCGCACCCCATCTGCCCCCCAAAAAGACACATTGAGAAACTGCAGCCAATTGGACTAGGTGGTTGAGGAGTTTATTTGGGGGAGGAGAATTATTCATATTTGTTCTTCCTGGGGAGGGGGTCTTCAAACAATACCGAAGGGCAGGGTGTGGGAAAGGGGGGTCTGGAGGGGAAAGGAAGGGGCCACAGCCAGACGAAATGGCAACACACAATCACAGGCACTACCGACATCACAGACACAGCAGAGGGTGCAGGATAGGGGCTCCAGACCAGGCCTCCAACCACCCTAGATCGGGTGGAGATGTGGAGGGAGGGAGGGGCAGGGGAAGGGGGAAGAGGGGTGGGCCAGCCTCACAGACCTGCCTGGCTCTGCCCTCTGATTACCTAGCTATCTGGTCAAGGGGAGGGACAAGGGTGTGGGGGCTGTTCCTCTCTGGATCCCACCCCTCACTCTCCAAGCCAAATCATTTGTTTTTTTCCCAGACCAGCTTCCTTGGTTCCCAGCCTTAGCTAGGGCCATTTTCCCCACCCTTAACAAAACTCATCCTGCAGCTCCTAAGCACCCCCCACCTACTACCCAAACCTGTTCAATTTAAAACACCTTTTCTTCACTGTCCTATTGGGGGAGGGGCTGCCCTTTCTGAAACCACCAGGCTCACCCCACTCTAACCACAACCCTTCTGGAACCCTGACTAGGACAGTTCACCCCAAGCTTAGCTCATTCCTGAACCCCACCTCTTGCTCTACTCAAGATGTGTTTCCCATTAGATCAAGTTCAGATTGTTGAATGTGCCAAGCCACACACACACACACACACACACACACACACACACACCTTCTATAGGCTGGTCCCAATCCAAGACCCAACCAGTCTGGAGTCCACTTGCTGGCTCACATAAACCCCCACCCCTTCTAGAGACATGCCCTGGGCCTCCTTCCAAGCCTCACCCCAGAATGCTTTAGGCACCCCTTTACTTCAGTTACTCCCTGATGACTTCTCCCCTCCACTCCAGAGCTCCCTTTAAAGACCACCTTGGATCCAAGCTGTCCTCTCTACCCCAAGATTCCGGATCTCTGCCTCTCCCCTACCCTCAGGGTTGAATTTTCCTTCACAGCTTTGTTCAGGCAAGGCTGGTGGAACCAAGGCCAGAGTTAGGAGGAGGGGCTAGAGAGAGGGGAGAGAGTCTGAATTCACACCCACCCTCCCCACACAGCTGAGGTCTGTCCCCTCCCTGTCCCCCTTCCAGAGCCCCCTAAATTCAGGGGACAGGGACAGGGATCAGAGAGGGGCTGAGGAATGCAGGGAAGGGGCAGGAGTAGGGAAGAAGCCCACTCAAGACTGGGCCCCTAGTGCATGAAGGGAGAGGGGTGAGGGCAGGGCTCAGACAGATAAATAGATATTTATATATAATATATATATATATATATATATAAACAGCAAAGACAGTTAGGGTCTCCTGGCTTGAGGGGTGGAGACCTAGGGTGTAGGGGAAGGAAGGGGGGCAGGCCTTCTCCTGAGCTCTTGCCCACCCATGGGGTCCTCCCGGGCTGCACTGACCTGTAGAGACAAAAAACACAGAAAGGAGAAAGGGTCCAAACACAGATGGCACCCTTAGGGAGGAGCTGCCCCCTTTCCCTGGGTGCTGCTGCTTTTTCCTTTCTTTCTTCACTCACAGCCCTGAAATCAGTTTCTTTCCAGCTGCCCTCATGGTGTTCCTGATCTTGAGCCCACTGGGTTAGGTACCAAAACCATTAAGGTCCCCCACTCCCAACTAAAAACAATCCATTAACAGCTATTGTTCTAGCCACTGGGTATACACTGTATTGAGCAAAACAAAGATCCCTGTCTTTATGGGGCATACCTTGTGGCAGGGGGAGACAGACTTTCCTTAATGATGCATAAATGAATTATGTAGTAGAACATAAATTCATAACATTGAAATAAAATGAAAGTGGAGTGAACAAGGGGCATGGTGTCAGCAATGGGGTCACATGGCACCTTGGGGATCAAGCTGTGAAGACTCCATCTTTGCCTCCAGATGTGATATAAGCCATGGAATGATTTTGAGCAGGGAAGAGTAAAATGAGTAAATGTCTCATGGTGTTTCCATCATTTACTCAATAAAATGTTTCGTAGCATGAGGAGTGCTCTAAGTGATGTGTGTCCTGTATGAATAAGTTCTGGTTATATTCCTCAGTCTAGGGGAAGAGACAGTGAATAAACATATACACTAATAATTATAGATCATGATAAGGAAAAGCACAGGGTACTATGAGAGAGATAACAAGGGGGATTTGTTTTAGACAGGCAAGACCTCAATGATCAAGTGACCAAAAGGATGAAATGAAGCTGGCTAGGTAGATATTAATTTGTGTGGGGTGTGAAACTCTAGGAAGAAAACAGGTTCAAAGGCCCTGAAGTCAGATTGTGCTTGACACATTGCAGTGTCCAGTTTGACTGAAACAGAGTAGGGGAATGGTAGGTGAGGTCAGGAAAGTGAGATGGGGGTAGGGGGGCTAAATGTGTAGGGATTTAATGTACATAGTGAAGACTTCTAGTTTTAATTCCAATGAGATGGGTGAGATGGGAACTACAGCTGACTTCTAAGCACAGGAGGGCCATGAACTAATTTAGGATATAACAGAATCACTCGGATACTGCATAGAACAGAATAAAAATGGGGGTGCACACCTGTGAAGAGGTCCAGGGGAGATTACGTAAGAAGTGGAAAGACTATGGAATTATTTTGATGGTAGGGCCCACAGGGTTCTTTGTTGAATTAGATGAGAGATGCTTTAATAAATCCCCTGCCTTTAGCTTCCTAGCTAACCCAGTACCAGAAACTATCTCTACCCACATGTTACAACTTCCTTGCCTTCCTGCCCCCCCCCCCCAACTCAGGGAAATCTTTTTTTTTTTTTGGCAGTACTGAGGATCAGATTCAGGGACACTCTTATCACTGAATTACATTCCAGCCCTTTTTATTTTGAGGCAGGGTCTCACTAAATTGCAGAGGCCGCGCTCAAACTTTCAATCATCCTCCTTCAGCCTCCAGAGTAGCAGGGATTGCACCACCACCAGATGACTCAATTCTCTCTTAAGGCACAGCAAAAAGATCGGTAAGCCATGCCGGGCATGGTTGTGCAAGCCTGTAATTCCAGTGACCTGGAAGCCTGCAGCAGGACTGCAGGCTAACCTGGATAATTTAGCGAGACCCTGCCTCAAAATAAATAATAATAAAAATAAATTAGGGGGCTAGGGCTGGGGCTCAGAGGTAGAGCGCTCGACTCGCAGGTGTGAGGCTTTGGGTTCAATCCTCAGCACCATATAAAAACAAATAAATAAAATATTGTGTTCATCTACAAC